GTATTCCAGCTTATTTTCACCAATCGTCCAAACGGTCCTATTTTTTAAATAAAATACTTGGAAAACGAATTACCACAAAAAGTGAAGTAAGATGGAATCCAAATTCAAAAGTAGTATATGCTGTGTAACAAGAAAGAAAAAAATTGTTACAAATATTTCAGGACATAATGAATTGCCTAGAAATCAAATGCAAAATCAATTAGTCAGGCAGATGGTTTTAAGCGTAAGTTAGAGGACTTGGAATTTGTATTTTTATTAAATGTTTTTAGTGATATATTTCAACAAACTGAGCTCTTATACAACATCTTGCAGAAGAAAAATAATGATGTTCAATTGTGTGCCAATTCAGTGTCCAGAAGTGTTGCAAAGTTAAAGAGCTGGAGAAATGACCTTACATTTTCTAACCATTTCAACATTAAAAACCAAATCCATCTTAAGTCGTAGTGAACTTGATATTTTACCTGGTAGTTCATCTAATAACGGATATCAAAGTTTTTTGGAGAAAGCTAAAACTAAATTTAGAAGGATCTTTTTTGAGATTTTGGACAATATTATCACTCAATTAGAGCAACGTTTCTCGGATTACAAAAAGCTTCAATAACTGGATTGGGCCATAATAAAAGATTCACAGAATATGGGGCTAAATTTACGATGTAATTTGCTCCCTACCTTTTGGCCTACCCAAAATTTTACCACACCAGCCGCCACTGTGATGCTGTCAAAAGGCATTTAGGCATGAAACATCCGAAAATCTTTTCAGGTCATAATAATGAAAAGATTTTCTCCAATGGAACAAAAACCTTTCTCTAATGTTATAAAAATAATACTGAAATGATGGCATCTACTGAGGTCATATGTTCCGAAATCAAACAGAACCTCCGTTCAAATTTCCTAGTAAGGACTATTGTAGGAGAGTAGTTAGTACATATTGCTCGCATTTCAGAGATGAGATGGAATGGACAAAAAGCGAAAAAACTAAGCGAAGGTTAAAAATTGTGGTATGTACGGAAAAGTAGCATTAGGAATGGAGTTTTTATAATTGCTGATAGAGAAATGGAACCTAGAGTAGTAAAAGTTGTAAGAACGAACGATAATGAGAAAAATACCTTTTCTCATTATTATTAAGACAAAATTTTTGTTGTGTAATGCATACAAATGTTGTATATGCATATTTATGCTCCTCAAATCGGTGTGGGTTAGAATGAAAGGAATCTTTTTACGATCAATTATTAGACATGATGAGTGATTATCCATCAGAGGGCCACAGAGGACCATATCCATCAGAAAGTTATAATAGGTGATTTTAATGCACATGTGGGCCAATCAAAGAGGGGATATAAAGGTATACATTGACTACTAGGCTTTGGAACTAGAAATGAAGCTAAAGATTATATGCTGCACATCTCAAGAGATGTACTGGAACACGAAAGAAAGTTCTCACAAAATTTGGAGGAATGTGTCCGGTATTATTAGAGATACGGGTATTGAAATACTTTAGAAAAACGCTCAGGAAAGATGACTGAGAATACAGAGGCCAAGTGGTGGCCTAACGAGATTCGAGACACAATAAAAGAGAAGAGAAAATTATATAAAAAATGTCAAAAAATAGGTCGGACACAGATATGCAAAACAATAAGATCGTCAAAAAGCGAGCGAAAGTAGCAGTAGCAAAAGATAAGCAGTAAGAAATAAAAATTTCTAGCGTTTGTATAATTTATAAAATGAATAAAATTATGGAAATATCCAAACGAATTATTACAAATTTTCAAACGTTTTCGGTCCTATTATCAAAGAATATAGACGCATATGCGTCTATATTTTTGCTATCATATTATCATCATTGACACTAAAAGAATTTGCAAAATGGTTTATGGCAGGAAACAATAAAAATAACTAAAATAAGAATTCATTCCCCTACGAAGTAGGCAACACACATTTCACGGATCGAAAAAATCTTTTATGGATGAATTTCTAAACCAGTGATGTTAAAATAT